TGGCATACAAAAAGCAAGTCGTTTCAATTGCCCAGTGCAAACTTTAATCAAGTGAAATTCTACCTGACTGTTTTTGTAGAACGGAGTAGGAGCTTCTACGGCATAGCCAAAAACTGTAGTCGATAACGAGTGATTATAACCAATCAAATGATACTTCGAAGTATTATATAACATAATTGGTTAAAGCGTATTTTGCCCAAAAACACCTCGTACGAATTCCGAACACAAATCAATAATTGAACTGTTATTAACAATTTGTCACGTTCTGGCGCATCCTCTCCATTAAATGTTGTCGCCAAGGTACGAGCTCCGCATGCCTCCGTCGGATCAGTTCGCGTCGCACGTACTCATCCTTGAGGCCGTCGTCGACGTCCATCACATCGACGCCCTTCAACGTCGCCTGCTCGTCCACACTCACAAACCCGGTGGCAGGTTGAAATATCTGCGACACATGGCTGACAAATCGCAGCAAGATGTGTGTTGGCGATATCTGCCGCACCTCGGTCCTACATGCAACGAAAGAGCTAAGCCCTCGTCCCGAACAACCCCCGAACTAAATACACACCACATCATGTAGTGCTGCTGATTGTACTGGGGGTCACATACGTAAGCTTCGTCCTCATCGACTCCCCTAGTGACCATGATGAACCGTTTGGCTTCGAAACTTCCACCTTGGTGCGCGCATTGAACGAAGTGTCCTTGGAGCCTGTTCACGAACATGCCTTTGGGCGTGGTCTTGTGAAACAGACGTGTGTTGGCTGTGATCTCTTCCACCACCTAATCAAACACAAAGCTGCTCTTTTCATGGATTCCGCTATAAAGTTTCATGAGTTTCCGTGATTGTACTAAATACTGAGGGTAATTATTGCGGAAACGGACACGGATTACTTTGCGAAATCTCCCTAAGGGCGTGTTTGGAGCGACTTTTGTGTCAGCGGTTTTTGGCTTTTTCCACAAGCCGCTGAAATATCAGCGACTTTTTGCCTTCACTGACATTGGTTAATAACAGAGAAAAATCAACCAATGATGCGTCCTAAAATTCATTGTCCATTTTCAGCTCTAATAAGAGCATCTCCAACGGGAGTCCCTATATCGATGTCCCTATCCCCAAAACCTGTTACAACAGTGGTACCATCGAAGTTACGGATAATTTGGGGATGTATCCGGGTGTTTTTGTCCCCATTTCGCTCGGACGTCCCAATAACTGAACATTTTGGGGACATCCCCATAATTTGGGGCTTATCCGGGCGATTTTGTCCCCAAATTATGGGGATGTCCGTAACTTCGATGGTACCACTGTTGTAACAGGT